GGGGGGCCGGCTTTGGGAACCAACCGTGCCTGAGGCTTCCCTGGGGAGGGTCTGGGACCAGGGCAGGTGGCGGGCGGCCGGTCACGTTTCCTCGGAGGGTGGCCTAGAAGTCCGAGTTGGGCTTTTCAGGGGTTGGGAGCTGGGGTTTTTAATGATAAAAGCACCGTTTTCCATGACGTCTAAGGCGCTGTCACTCTGAGGCCTGTCTGTGGACAGACGCCCCGGTGAACCGTCACGGGCGTCAGTTCAGGGGGACGGTGGCTCCGAGCCAGCCCGCTGTGCACCCTCCGACCTGGTGACAGGGCGGGGAGGGGCGGGCAGGGCGCCCCGTCCTCCTGTCCTGGTATCAGTTGTGCTCCTGTGGGTCTCTGGGATCTTAGGGCCGAGGTCCCCAAGGGAGGGGGCTGCTCTGAGCTCCGGAACAGCCCCGGCCCTTGGCTTCTGCGAGGGTCTCGGGGCTCGTCCTGGGGAACCCCCTCCCCACCCCCCAGGGAGCAGCGTCGTCCAGAGCTGGGCAGCCTGACAGATGTGGCCGGTGCCCCACCTTCTCCTCCCTCCGCAGAGGGTCTGAGGAAGCTGTTCTCGGGTGCAACCATGGCCTCCAGTCGGGGGATGCTGGTCACTGTGGGCCAGGTAGGCCGTCTACGGGGAAGGGGGGCTCGGGGGAGCCTCCAGGGGTCCCTGCCCTGCCTAGCCCCCCCCCAGAGACCACAGAGGATGGTGGTGGCCACATGTGGGCACTGGGAAGTGGACACAGGCAGGTCGGGTGTATGGCCTTGGGCAGCCCCTCCCTGCCTGGTCTCACCTGTCCAGCAGCCCCGTACATGAGGTGACTGCCAGCGGCGCTAGTGGATCCGGGTGGTGTCCCTGTGGCCCCGTCGGCGCTCCCAGGAGCCGGGGCGGCCAGGCCCTGACCTCCCTGCACCCACAGCTGTCCTGCTACGATCAGGCCAAGCAGCTGGTCCTGGGCACGGGGTACCTGTCGGACGGCATCTTCACGCACTTCATCGCCAGCTTCATCGCCGTAAGTGCCAGGCGGGGCGGGGGCGCTGGATGCCGCCCTCAGACTGGGGGTGCCAGGCCGGGAGAGGGGCACCCCAGCCCAGCCTGGGGTGGTCAGTGC